AACAGCCTGAAATTAAAGAATTGTCCACTTTTTATTATTGACCTACTGCACGGCTTGCTCACTACACAAGTCAAACTCATACAGTCCTCATGTATTAGACTAGACAGTTCTACAGATTTCCGGCATTAGAACAAATATGATACCTAATGTAATTTTTTAAAATACAAAACAAAACACCATTTATCCATTTCTTCTTCCTTACAGTCAATGGGTCAGCTGGGGAATTCTGCCCACTTGGGCCAGATTTGGCTGCTTTTGGTTTGCTCCTTCAGTTAATTTGTTTGTGGTCCACTGAGGGCTGCAGGGGGCGCCACTCAGCTATCCTGAATGGGGTAGTCATGTCCCTCCAGCAGGTCACCCGGGCAGGTTTGGGGCACTTCTCAAGGTGACCACAGAGAAGCAAAAGCAGAAACATGCAAGCACTTTTTCAAACAACTACTTCGTGTCAAATTTACTAACATCCTTATTTCCCCTTCCTGGCCTGTTTTTGTTTTTGTTTTTTATTGTGGTAAAATATACCTAACATAAAATTTACCATTTTAACTATTTTTGAGTGTACAGTACAGTCCCATTAAGTACACATCATCACAAAACATCATCACGATGTTGGGCAAACATCATCACAATCCATCTTCAGAATTTGTTTCATCTTGCAAAACTGAAACTCTATACTGGTTAAATAACCCAGTTCCTTCCTACCCGCTAGCCCCTGGCAGCCACCATTCTACTTTCTGTCACTATTAATTTGACCACTCTGCATATCTCATATGAGTGGAATTTTACAGTATTTGTCCTTGGATAAATGCCTTATTCACTTAGCATGATGTTGCCAAGGTTCATCCACGCTGCACTGTGCCTCAGAGGCTCCTTCCTCTTTAAGGCTGAACAATATTCCACTCTGTGTGTATGTCACATTCTGATCATCCATTTATCCATCAATGGGTATTTGGATTGCTTCCATCTTTTGGTAGTGTGGATAAATGCTGCTATGAATACAAAAGGGGCATACAAATACCTCCTCAAGTCTCTGCTTTCAATTTTTTTGGTGTATATCTAGAAGTGGAACAGCTCGATCTTAAGATATTTCTATTTTCCATTTTTTAAGGCATCACCACACGGTTTTCCACATCAGTTGCACCATTTTATATTCCTATCAGCAGTGCACAAAGGTTGCAATTTCTCCACATCTTTGCCAATACTTGTTACTTTGTGCTGTTTTTTTTATAATGGCTATCCTAATTGGTGTAAAGTGGTACCCAATTGTGATTTTCATTTGCATTCCCTGATAATTAGTAATGGTGAGCATCTTTTCATGTGCTCATTGGCCATTTGTATATCTTCTTCAGAGAAATGTCTATTCAAGTTCTTTCCCATTTTTGAATCAGGTTGTTTGGTTTTTGTTTTTAAGTTTTAGGAGTTCTCTATATATTCTGTATATCAATCAGTTATCAGATAGGTGATCTGCAAATAAGGCTTTCTTTTGAAAATTAAGACTCTCTTTTGAAAGTGAAAAATAGATACACAAACTGCTACAATTTTTTAGTTCTGAGTACTATGCCAGGCACCAGAAATACAGAAATTAACAAAATTAAATCTTTCTATTAAATGATTTCCCTTACTATGGAACACAGAGAATAAAATGTTAGAATTATAATAAATTATGGAACGTATTATAATAGAAGTAACCAGACAGTACCATGGAAGTACAAATTCCTAGACGAAGGGGAGAGCAAACAGCAAGGAACAAGAGGTGAAAGAGAACAGGAGGAATGATAGGATCACATGATTTGGCAAAGATGGCAGCAGAGACAGATGATGCGGTAATCGCACAGGCGATGCTCAGTGCTTAAGCACCATGGTTTGTCATGATGAAAAGCTTATCCTCTCTGTCGACATTTCTGATTTCTACTGTGATTGTCTGGATGTGTGAAGAAGCAGATTATATCCTATAGATTCAGAGTAGGAGTTACTCCCGAAACTACTCCAGAGTAGGTGTTTTTCCTAATGTTAATCATGCCAGGGCCAAAAAGGGAACACTCTCCATCTGACATCAGAAAAATGGACGCCCCAGCACGCTATGTGAAGGAAACCAGATACGGTGAGTGAACTGGTGCCTGTCATGCGGGCTCTGCAGAAACTAGACAGCGATCCTCAGATTGAGACTGTAAATCACTGAGAGCCTTACACTTCTGCTGTGATTGGATTCTCTAGAGCTTTATTTAAATACTTCACTGAGGCCTAAAATGGATTTGGAGGAGTTAAGGGTAAGAACCATGTATACTCTTGGAAGAAGTCAGTACTAAAAACAAGAAGTCTAGTGTCCTGAGAACTTTAGAGTGACAAAGAGGGATAAGGCAGAAACACTGGTTCAAAATACAGGCAGGAGAGAAACAGCAAAGAACCTCTAGATTAGATTGTTGGAACACAAAACATTCTTTAGGTATTGCTGAATTACTAAGAAAGGAAGCTTTAGGAGAAAGATTGCCCATCTGAACAAATGTGAGCAGGTACTCAGCACTCCTTATACATTAAAGGAAATATTATCCCAAAGCTCATCTTAAAAGGAATCAGTTTCAACTCATGATGTATTTCCTCTTAAAATTTTTCCTAGGGTTTTCTAAAAGGATCTAAAAATACTGACCAATTCAGCAGCAACAAGCACAATCGGCCAAACTGTGATCTTCAGATTTTATTTCCCCATAAAAGGGTTCTTTCCTACCAGGACTCCTTAAACAAATAGATGATTCTAGAACTGGGCAAGAAAAAGTGATGGTTAAGGTAGAGCACCTTGTCACACTGGAGAGCATGGTAGTTATCAAAGACTACTAAGCCTGTACCAAAAGGACTCAGGGGCAACTTGAAACCAGTCATGGGCAAACACCTGAACCTCAATAAAAATAATTAACTGCAGTGGATTGAAACACCAAATACATTAAAGTCTGTGAGTTCACAAACATACTTTTTTGTTAGTTGGATACCATTGGAGGATCCCAGCAACCAAATGACTGTTTCAAAAACTGGCATATAAAGAGAAGGAATTCAACTTTTACCCTGACTTTCCAATGGGATTTACCATTGGATAATCTAACAGTAGATGAAGGGATGTATCTTGTTATAGAATGATTCCCAATAAATGAAATAAAAGTGACAGATTTTAAATACCATGATTTTGCAATTATTTTTGAACCAAAGAATCCAAGCATTAATTATCAATGACCATTAACATCACAAAAGAGATATAAAGTAGATATTACACACACTCTGACAGAACACAAAAACTTCCAATGAAGCAGTCTTGCCAGAAATATCTAATCTCAGAACAAACTGCCAATTTATGAGAAATCTAGAAGAGAAATCATTAGATTATACCACAGGAATGGAATAAGCAAAATTCACACTGTGAGAAAATATGTAAGCAAACAATGTTTCTTCAACTAATAAATTAGAAAGGAAGAAAAAGATAGAAGAGAAACCTACAGAATAAAGAGAGGTGTATAAACTTGATTGTAATGTGTGGTCCTTATATGGATCCTGATTAGAATAAACAAACTAAAAGAATTATGAAATTTGTACTCAATTAGAAATGTGATAACTACTGGTATTTGATGATACTAAGAAATTAATATTAATGTCTTAGGTTTGCCAAGGGTATTAAGGTTGTGCTTTAAAAAGAGACCTTAGTTTTTAGACATACGTATTGAAATACTTATGAATGAAATGGTGTGATGTCTGGGGTTTGCTTCAAAGTAATATGGGAAGGAGGAAAGAAAATGAAAGTTAAGATAAAATAGGAGTAACCATGAGCTGATAACTGTTGAAGCAGAGTGGTTGATAGATGGATATTACATTACTTTGTCTAATTTTCCATATGCTTGAAATTCTCCATAATAAAAAGTTAGAAAGAAAAAAACCCAGAACCTTACTTAATATCACAAAATTATGATTCAAGATATTCTTTTTATTGATAATATAGGACAGAAAAGTTCTTGAAGAATACCTGAAGATATGGGAAAATAATTATAGAAAATTAAGACTGTGTGTGTGTGCGTGTGTGTGTGTGTACAATGTGCTTATTCCTTATTGATATGTGGCAAATTAAGGATAATTTTTGTTTTCTTATTTACATGTTTTACATTTAAAAATCAAATACAGTTAATAATATTTTATAAATGGAGGAAAATATCACATGTATTTTATTCATTTAACACATTTTCTGAATGGGTGCACTAGGCATGGGAGAAATAATGGCGAACAAGAACTCTATCATGATGGAGTTGAGTGGCAGAGATAAAAAGAACCAAAACAAGTAGGTAGAAAGATATGTAAAATGCAGGTTATTTCAGGTGCTATGACAGAAACAGAGAACAAAATATTGGGAAGGAATGTAGTCACTAATGGTCTCCATGAGGAGGTGAACTAAAGGACTAGGGAGAGTCAGCGACTCACAAAGCAGGGAGACGACAGTGAAGAGAGAGAAAGCAATGCTCTGAATTGAGAAAGATTTATTCTGTATCTATTGATAAGTGAAGAAAGGTTTAAGCACTGGATTTATATAATTCAAAATGAGATTTAAAGAGAACCCATATTGTTGTAGCGAGGAATGGATTAGAGAAAGGCAAGAGGTAGCAGAGACATCAATTAGACTTGGAATAGTGTAGGATTACTTGTCTTTTTATGGCTACTGGTGAGAAGTTTCCATGATTTTCTTTATAGGTTTTATCAAATACTAACACCCTTAGAAGTTGATACTTCAGAATAATGTTTTCTTAAGTATATACAGAAACAGGAATTTAACTGTTAATATTTTAAATTGTTACTCAGTTTGTCATGCACAGTAAATTTTTCAACTTTAAATTTCAGAATGCTGAAAATACATTTAAAAGAGAATATTAAATTTTTAATTATACTAAAAAGATTTTTAAAAAGTAATGTGAAAAATAAAATCAAATTTGTTTTTATATGCCAGACAATTATATTTCAGATAATTACTGAGAAATTACCTTGGACAAATCTCTGAAATTACTTGGCAAGGTAAGATCCAGTTCTTCTGATTCATAGTTAGTGATGACCCAGGGGAACACTGGATACTGATTTAAGTCATTGTAACTCCGTCCTGAGAGAGGAGAAAAAAAAAATGAGAAGTGGGACCACATCAAACTCAAAAGCTTCTGTACAGCAAAGGCACTATCAACAAAACAAAAAGACAATCTACAGTATGGGAGGACATATTAGTCAATGATTTACCTGATAAGAGGTCAACATCCAAAATATATAGACCCTGAGAAGTGACTGTTCGTTACCACAGGGGGGCGTTGGAGTGGGTGGGTGAAACAGGTAAAGGGGATAAAGAGGCACAAAATCTCAGTCGTAACATAATGCTGGTCGTGGGGATGGAAGTACAGCATAGAGAATACAGTCAATAGTTCCATAACATCTTTCTACGTTGACAGATAGCAACTACATCAGTAGGGGAGAGGATTTAATAATACATATACCTGCTGAATCACTATGTTGTACACTTGAAACTGATATAATATTGTGTATCAACTATACTTTAATAAAAAAATAAAGATAACATAGGCACAATAGAAGGTATCTGAGAGTAGACCATTTTGTAAACACTGCTCCACAATTATTACTGTGCATTTAAATCTGTTAATTGGTTTAACAAATGTAAAATATGTCTATTAAACTTACTATATGTTTCCTGTCTCTTATTACCATTAAAAAATCCTTTCAGGCACTAGTTACATAATCCCTATTAAATTAACATAGCTGTTCAAACTTTCTTCATTCCTTTCCCTCAACTGTCTGAGATGAGTATCCCCATGACTGGTAAAAGTTAGGTATTTTTCAATGTGAACCCTTAACTTCCTATTTCATAATACTCCCTCTCTCCCCCCCACTTCTCCTTATTCTTTGCAAGGTGTAATTCCTTCACTTGAGCTCTTGAGCCTGTCTCCACATAACTTCAATTGTTACATTTCCTGTCTTTCCCTCTTTCATGGTCTCTCCTCTGCCTTAACCCATCCTCTCTCTATTGTTACACAAGAAAACTATAATCTTCACCTAATATTTTTGTTTCTTCTCTAACCAATCAGTTTTTATAATCAATCGTTTTGCTTCTTTTGAAAACTAACCCCTACAAAGTAACCAGGAAGTCTGCAAATGCCAAAGCAAAAGGGAGGGAGGGCCGTATCCATCTTATCTCTCTCTTACCTATATGACACTTGATGCAGGTGACTAAGGAAGGCCTTTCTCTCTCCCTTTCCCCTTGCCTCTCACAACATTTGCTTTACCTTAGTTCTCCTCCTGGGATCACTCATTCTCTTCTCTCCTCTACTAATTTTCCCCCTTTTTTCTTGTCCAGAATTGCTATTTTCCCAATGATTTAAGCCAGAAGCCTAGAAGTTTTTTTCTGACATTTTTTTCTTATTTACCCACTACATTCAATAAGCTGGACATCAAATGCTTTGGCTCTTGTAAAGTCTTATGTTATTTAATCCTCCATTTTAATGCCCAGCGTCACCTCTCTAATGCTCGTAATATAATTGCTTCCTAGCTGTGCTGTTTACCTAGTCTCTCTCCAATCTGATTTGGTATTCATTCTGCCTCCAATTCACTTTACATACAATTTTAATAGTATGTATCAAAAGTTTCCCAATGAATTAACTGCTCACCCCTCAAATCGACAGAAAATTTTCCACAATGTCTCTACCCTACCTTTCCAGTTTTCTCAGTATACCTTTATACATGCATACTCTATATATACACATGCATATATATGTTTGTGTGCTTGTGTATACAAATTATACCATTAATCGTTTTCTAGCTATACTTCATATCTTTCCATCTTTGTGCTTCCTTACGCCTTCAGTTTTACATGAAATGACATCTAATCTCCCACCTCTTTTGCTAAGAAATATCTATCCTTACACGAACATGAAATTTTCTTGATATTTTTCTCTTACTTCCACCAAGTGGATGTATATAATTTCCCCACTTACTCTTTTAATCCCCATAATATTTTGTATTTCTTTTACTGAATCTATACCCCTTTGCTCTAGAAACACGCAAATGCTCACATTTACACTTAAAATAACTTCTCTTAAGAGCCAACAATGTAACTTACTCTCTTTGTATATCCTTTGTGCCTCAAAAATAAGCCACAACAGTTTTGTTGAGCTGAATCACAATGTTGAGCTGTCTCACCAATACATTCCTTTTTTTCTTTATTCTAGTTATGACAAATGAAAAGTAATGGGTCCTTTCTAGTGTTTTACTCTTTTTCAAAATGAAGAGTTTCGGTGGGTGATCTTCAATAACATGACATGATGACAGATCATGAACAAGGCCATTTAGTCTTGAGATTTTCATTCATATGTCAAAATATAAATACTCCCTTACTTACTATTTTGACTACGCTTTTGTATGTTGTATTTCATTGTTTCATCATGTAATAGATTTCTAATTAAGTTATTAATAGGTTAAAATTGTAGATGGCTATTCACTCCTAGTCTTCCATAGTGAGTCAGTTCATTACTACTATATTAAATTGCTGTAAATTTTCATTTTGTGTTTTTGGAAATTAGTGTACAAACCCACTTTTTACTTTCTCAGCACAGTTATTCATATACAAAACTGTAAATTCTTATAAAAATTACTTGATAATATATTCATATAGTAATAATGAAAAATAATCTATATTTATAATAGTACTCAAAATAATCTAATCATATCAATTAAAAATTTATTGTTTGAAATAAATCAGCATGTGGGCTTAGATTACCTGCTATTGTGTTGAGAAACATCAAATACTCAAAATTTGAAATCTCTCTATGTTGCCATCGCTGCGTCATATTAGAAGCTTTAAAAAGTTGGCGTGGACTAGCTAATGAGATGCGCCTGCAAACAAAAAAAAAAAAAGAATTTGATGAAGAGTCAATTTAAATTTAAGATTAATTATATCACAATAATAAATAATGAATATATGTGCTTATTCAAAATGATATCTGTATATCTGAAAAGTTCTATTCATGTTATACTAATGAATACTACAGATATTACAATCTACAATTGTTAAACAAATTATTTCTACTAGGCACAGGTCTGTTAAACATTTTCTATTCATTAAGGTAAACTGTAATTTCAATACCATTATAATATCTAGGTTCCATAAATGTTGATTAATAATACTATGATTAATAATTTGCTCCTTTACTGATATAGAGAAATTATAGTAACTGAGAAATACATATGAAATTGTATTCACATCTTTTTCAATTTTGATAGTTATCGCTTAAGGTCAACACATTTAAACATTATCAACTTAAATATTTTCTTTGCATTATCTTTTGTAACAGGAGAAAGAGGATTCTAAACTCTTTAGGTGTCTATTCATGGAGTAGGGTAAAGGTATGAGAAACTATTATTTTTCAACACAGCTTAAAAGAAGACCAAGTTTTCTGTGTTGTCTTAATGCAATGTAAGTAACAAAGGATACAACTGACTAGTAACAATCAATGGGAAATAGGTGGCAGTATTATTACATTGAGATTATAGAATCTGAATTACATTTGTATTATAGAATCTCAGAGAAGTATACTGTCACAGCTCTTACTACCACCAAGGACGATGTAACCTACCCATTTTAAGTTACTATTCAATGATTTTAAAAAAAATAAATCTCTAGAGTTGTGCAGTTATCATTACAATTCACTTTGAAACATTTCATCACCACAAAAACTTGCCTTGTGCCTATTTACGTTAATATTCATTCTTATCTTGCTAGCATTCTGCTTTCTGTTCCTATAAAAATGCCTTTCCTGGTCATTTCAGACAAAAGGAATCATACATCACAGTTTTTTGCATCAGGCTTCTTCCACTAACCATAATGTTTCTGAGATTGTTCAATGTGGTAGCATGTATTAGTAATTCATTTCTTTTAATTGCTGAATAGTGTTCCAGTGTATCAATACAGAATATAACATGTTTTTTAAATCCATTCACCAGTTGACGGACATTTAAATTGTTTCCAATTTGGGACTATTTTGAATAATCTACAATGAACATTCATATACATGTCTTTGAATGAACATATGTTTTCATTTCTTTTGGGTACATTCCTAGGAGTGGAATTGCTGGGTGAGTTTGTGTTTAACTTTTTGAGAAACTGCCAAATTGCTTTACATCATACAGTCCAACAAGCAATGTGTGACATTCCAGTGTTTCCACATCTCTGCCAATGCTTGCTATTGTATGTATTTTTTATTGTAGCCAATTCCAGTGAGTGTAAAATGGCATCTTACAGTTTTAATGTACCTTGCTGGGTATCTTTCCACATGCTTATTAAACATTTGTGTATATTCTTTGGTGAAATATCTATGCCATTCTGAACTGCTTCTTCCTGAACTCTGAAATTCCTCATTAAAAAATTATAAAATTATCTAATCAAAACCTTTACTGGCATTGTAAAATAATTATTGCTTATAATCTAGAAGGACCGTTTTATGTGTCTTACTTATATAAAAGTTATGACCTGTAGTAGTTTTAAAATATGTCTACCAATTCTTTGATACTTTTTCTTTAACAGGTGGAGCTTGATTCCCCTCCTCTGAAGACTGGGTTATATTTAATAACTCATCTGTAATAAATAGAATGTAGCAGAAATGATGGTGCCTGACTATCAAGGAAGGTCATGAAATACATTGGGGCTTCTGCCTCATTCTCCCTGGGATCAGTGTCTCTGGGGAAGGTCAGCTCCTATGTCATCTGGACATTCACGCAGCCCAGGGAGAGGCAGATTTGGTGAGTGAGGACAGAGCACTGCTGTCAAGGGGCGCGACAGTGCTTGATCCAGGGAGTCCTTCAGTCCCAGGATGGCTGAAGCTCTTACTGACATCCTGACTGCTATTTGTTCATTCTAGTTCAATCATATTTACAGTAAGCTATTTACCTAAAAAACTGAAATAAACAATAATTAAAAACAAATCAATACAAAATTAGGAATGCTAAAAGTAAATTGTAAATTCCCATGGCTAATATGCTTCAATCAGTAGAAAAGTCTCAGCATGCACTCTCTTCCCAGTCCTTATATTGGTTAACTAGATTGTATTGATGATGAATCAATACTTAGTATGAAAGAAAATAATTAATGATGGTGGTACTTAAGAAGAGCCTACTGACATCTTACTATGCTGATGGACAGTGACTGCAGTGGGGTTTGGGGAGACTTGACAATATGGTTGAATGTAGTAACCAAAATGTGTTTCATGTGAAACCTTCGTAAGAGTGTATATCAATGATACCGTAATAAAAAAATAAAAAATAAAAAGAGCTACAATAAAAAAAAAAGTATAGTCAACTGACCAGAACACAGTAGAGATGCATATCTCAGTTCCCTAATAATATCAGACATGCTTTGGCATTTTAACAGCCCTCTCAGGTAGTTATTTAAATTACTCTGACCAATATAAATAAAAGTTATTAAATCCATATGTATATACAAAATTAATATTTGAACTCTGATTTGCCAGAGGTTTAAGATCAAAGTTTTAATTAAATATATTATAGTTACAAAATTCTTAACATATGGATTTGTTATTCATATCAACAAAGAAAAAAATTACAAATATGACATAACAAAGTCTAATCATTTATATCAAAATGATAAAAAATTTCAATTTATCATATGAATAGTCCATATGAAAATATGTATGTAATAAGCTTTTGTAATTTAGATATCTTAGATAATTTACTTTTTTCAATGATCTTTACTAAGGTAAAGTTTAATAACATTTACCAAACTTAAATGTACAGTTTAATAAGGTTTGAATATACATATTTCTGTAACCATCATCACAATCAAGATACACTCCAAAATATTCCCTTATATCCCTTTGCAGTTTCCTTTGTCCAGTTCCTGGCCCTTGGAAACCAATAATCTGTTTTCCGTCACTGTATTTTGCTTCTTCAATTATTTCATTTAAACAAGAGTCACAGCCTATTATGCCTAACTTATTTTACTTAGCATAATGCTTTTGAGATTCATCCATGTTGTTGCATGTATCAGTAGTCAATTCCTTTTTATTTCTGAGTACAGTTTCATTGTATGGATGCATTACAATCTATTGATTCATACACAATTGGTAGACATTAGGAATTTTTCCCATTTGGGACTACTATGAATAATATGGCTTTTAAAATTTTCTTACAAGTACATGTGTGTACAAATATATTCATTACTCTTGGTAACCACCTAGAAGTGGAACTGATCGGATGAAAATTAAGTGTATACTTAACTTTATAAGAAAACTGGCGAATTGTTTTCCAAAGTGACTATACTAATTTGCATCCCTACTACCATGGTTATAGAGTTCCTGATGCTGTATACTATCATTAACATTTCACATTCTTCATCTTTTCCTGGTTTTGAAGATCAGATTTATTGAAGAATAATTTATGTAGTACAAAATTCAACCTTTTTAGATGTGCAATGCAATGAGTTTTGCCAAATACAGCTGTCACATAATAATCAAGATATGAAATACTTCCAGGATTATCAAAAGCTTCCTTCACACCCTCACTCTAACTAGTCCCCAGCCACTTGCAACCACTGATCTGATTTCTGCCCCAAACTGTTTTGCTTTCTACAAATGTCATATAAATAAGGAATCATACAGTACATAATCTTTTGTTTCTTTCACCTAGCATAATACTTTTCAGTTTATCGATGTTGTTCCATGTGTTAGTAGTTCATTCTTTTTATTGCTGAGTAGTATTTTCTATTTCATGGATGTAGTACATTCAACAGTTGATGACCACCTAATGTTATTTCCAATTTTTTGTGATTACAGAATTCATGAATTCATGAACAGGTCATTGCACGAATATGTATTTTCATTTCTCTAGTGCAAATGCCTTTGAGTGAGACTACCGGGATGTATGGTAAATGTACAGTTAATTTTATATGAAAATGCAAAACTGTTTTCAAAATGGCCAAACCACTTTACTTTCCCATTTGCAACATGTAAAGTTCCAGTTACTCTGCATCCTTATTAGCTCTTGGAATTGTCAGTTATTAAAAAGTCATTCAAATAAGTGTGTCATAGGATCACATCACGATTTTAATTGGCATTTCTCAGAAGACTAATGAAGTTCTGCATTTTTTCATGTGTTTGATGTTTGTATCCTTTGTTAAAGCATCTCTTTTAACTCTTCTTCATTTCTTTAAACCAGGTTGTTTGTCTCATTATTAAATGTGGCAGTTTATTATGTTTGCTGGATGTAAATCTTTTATCACACATAAGATGTACAAATATTTTAACCCAGACTGTAGCATATCCGTATATTTTTTAAAGAGCGTCTTCCAAAGGCAAATGTATTTTAATTCTGAAAGCCAGTTAATGAGTTTTCTTGAGTCTCTTCTAAAAAATCGTTGCCTAACAACATCAAAAAGATATTTCTCCTTTGTCATCTTAAATAAATTTTTCTTTAGCACTCATGTTTAGATTAGGCTACTTTTTTTTTTTAATGTTACATTTTGAGTTAATTTATGTGAGAGGTAAGGAATACGGTCTTTGTTGTTTTTGCATGTATGTATGACCAATTGTTGACCACCACCTGATAAAAAGCTATCTTTCCTCATGGGCATATATTGATGCTTTTGTTGCAATCAAATTGACATTTATGAATGGGCCTATTTCTAGATGCTGTTATGTGATCTAGAAAGTCTGTTTTACACAAATACCAAACCATACTAGTTAGGATAATTTTATATGAAGTCTTGAAATCAGATAATAAAAATCTTTCAACTTTGCTTTTATTTTCAAAAGTTTTAGCTTTTGAAGATATTTCTATTTTCAGTTAAATTTTATAATCAGCTTGTCAGTTTCTCCAAACAGCCTCCTAGGATATTCAATAGGATTGCTTTGAATCTATAGATCAGTTTTGAAGAGAACTAACATCTTATAACATTGAGTCTTCCAATTTATGAACATGGTATAGTGCAATTTTCCATTTCTACATTTCTTCAATTTCCTTAAACAGTATTTTATAGTTTTCAATGAGCAAGTCTTTTAAATGTACTCAAATTTATCCATAGGTATTTAATTTTTTGACAATTTAAAGAGTACTTATAACTTCAATTTTTAATTCATTGTTAATATACAATAATAAAATTAAATTTTGCATAGTGACTCTGCTACAAAATAGCTAACCTCATTTATTAGTTCAAATAGCTTTAAAAAAATTTGGGGGTATATATTCCTGGGAATTTCCACATAAAGTTATGTAATATCTACTGATCAACACAGTTTTATTTTGTTCCTTCCAAACAAGATGGTTGGTAGTTAACTTTTCTGGTAATGCCTTTATGTGGGTTTGGAATTCAGGTAATGGCAGCCTCATGAAATAACTCTGGAAACATGTCCTCCTTTTCTGTTTTCTGAAAGTTTTCCTAGAAATGGTATTATTTCCTCATTAAGCATTTGATAGAAATTGCCAGTGAAACTATTAGAGCTAGGAATTTCCTCTATTAGACCTTTAACTACACATTTCATTTCCTATGTAGAGGCATTAAGATTACTCATTTGTTCATTAATGATAATAGTAATAATAATGAGTTATCATTGTCATTGATAATTTTTAACTTTCAAGGAATCTTTCCATTTCATCTAAGTTGCCTAATTAATTAAGTAGCATAAATTTTTTCATAATATATCCTTCTTTTCATTTTAATATCTGTGGATCTGATAGTGATGCCTCTTCTTTCATTCTTGATATTGTCAATTTGCATCTCCCTTTTCTTAAGTCTTGTATAGATAGATATTTATTTCATTTGTCAGTCTTTTCAGAGAAACAGATTTTCATTGAATTGATACCTTTTTACTGATGTTCTGCCCTTATGTTTATTATTTTCTTCTTTCAACTTATTTTGGTTTACATTTGCTCATCTCTCTCTAGTTTCTTCAGAAAGAAGTTCAGCTGACAAAAAATAAAATATACTAACAAATATATACTATGAAAGAAAAACAGGTCATGCATTTTAAAACAAATAAGAACAAATATTAATAATAGAGATTATTTTCCAATTTTTTCTCATATATAAAACTACCTGGTTTGAGGCAATCCAAAACTGGTTCCAATACCAACACGAGGTAGATAGTTAACCACTTTCTTTACTGTTGCAGGGTCTGGGAAGTTGAACATTACAGCAACTATGAAAAATAATTTTTAATAATTACAACATAAAAGCTTGTCAGTTTCTCCAAACAGCCTCCTAGGATATTCAATAGGATTGCTTTGAATCTATAGATCAGTTTTGAAGAGAACTAACATCTTATAACATTGAGTCTTCCAATTTATGAACATGGTATAGTGCAATTTTCCATTTCTACATTTCTTCAATTTCCTTAAACAGTATTTTATAGTTTTCAATGAGCAAGTCTTTTAAATGTACTCAAATTTATCCATAGGTATTTAATTTTTTGACAATTTAAAGAGTACTTATAACTTCAATTTTTAATTCATTGTTAATATACAATAATAAAATTAAATTTTGCATAGTGACTCTGCTACAAAATAGCTAACCTCATTTATTAGTTCAAATAGCTTTAAAAAAATTTGGGGGTATATATTCCTGGGAATTTCCACATAAAGTTATGTAATATCTACTGATCAACACAGTTTTATTTTGTTCCTTCCAAACAAGATGGTTGGTAGTTAACTTTTCTGGTAATGCCTTTATGTGGGTTTGGAATTCAGGTAATGGCAGCCTCATGAAATAACTCTGGAAACATGTCCTCCTTTTCTGTTTTCTGAAAGTTTTCCTAGAAATGGTATTATTTCCTCATTAAGCATTTGATAGAAATTGCCAGTGAAACTATTAGAGCTAGGAATTTCCTCTATTAGACCTTTAACTACACATTTCATTTCCTATGTAGAGGCATTAAGATTACTCATTTGTTCATTAATGATAATAGTAATAATAATGAGTTATCATTGTCATTGATAATTTTTAACTTTCAAGGAATCTTTCCATTTCATCTAAGTTGCCTAATTAATTAAGTAGCATAAATTTTTTCATAATATATCCTTCTTTTCATTTTAATATCTGTGGATCTGATAGTGATGCCTCTTCTTTCATTCTTGATATTGTCAATTTGCATCTCCCTTTTCTTAAGTCTTGTATAGATAGATATTTATTTCATTTGTCAGTCTTTTCAGAGAAACAGATTTTCATTGAATTGATACCTTTTTACTGATGTTCTGCCCTTATGTTTATTATTTTCTTCTTTCAACTTATTTTGGTTTACATTTGCTCATCTCTCTCTAGTTTCTTCAGAAAGAAGTTCAGCTGACAAAAAATAAAATATACTAACAAATATATACTATGAAAGAAAAACAGGTCATGCATTTTAAAACAAATAAGAACAAATATTAATAATAGAGATTATTTTCCAATTTTTTCTCATATATAAAACTACCTGGTTTGAGGCAATCCAAAACTGGTTCCAATACCAACACGAGGTAGATAGTTAACCACTTTCTTTACTGTTGCAGGGTCTGGGAAGTTGAACATTACAGCAACTATGAAAAATAATTTTTAATAATTACAACATAATTATTTCCCTCCTGGAAAACTGACTTCTTGATCCAATAAAACATTTACTCTTAGTTTAGGTACTATTAAATAATGTTCTTACCATATTACTTTTATTATAGTGTATATCAACTTTTACCATTAGTATGCAAGAGATGATATGATATCCATTTACTTATAAACACTTTACCCTAGACAGTTCCTTCTCTAACTACTGTCAGAAGTTCTAACAAACTATTGCTGCATTAATGTAACATGAAGCTGAGATTCCCTAGTTACAACTTCAAATTTACAAAATGGAATTTTGACAAGCTAAATATATACCTGTGATTTCTATAACTAACTAACTAAAAGTTCAAGGCTATGTAGTCAACAATCTTACACAAAGAGACTATAGCTAGAGCTATGAAGTTTTCAGTTACATTTATTTCCAGTGATGAATAGTCTTAAAAATGTTCTCTTTACAACATTTATATTTTTATACTTTATACTTTCATATAATCCTGAACAATGTGTGATCTGAAGGAAAAATTTTCCTCTATGGATAATAATTAAACTTAACTGTTTCCAATAATTTCTATTTCAATAAGTACAATTTTACAATATCAAGAAACATCCATCAATATATAAAACATACCCAGCAAATAAATGTTTATTCATTGCAGTCATCTATACATTTCTGTCCTTCTTAAAAAGTTAAAAATAAGAGTCATAAAATCATGAGAGAGAATTTAGAAAGTATCAATTTGGACAATATTAAATATTAACTACATTAATTTCAATATCATAACAAGTGCTCATGTAGAAGATGATCTTTCTTTGATACCCAGCCTCAAAAAATACCTGAGAACAAAAAGTTTTATCAATTTGGTGTACCTTTAAATACTGGCATTACCCACATATTTCAGTTCAGTAAGTACGTGATCATTCGCTAAGCACCTAGGACAGCTTTAGAACTGTCATATACATACTCAAGATGCCTTTTTAATAAATTTTTCCTATATATACATTATCATAATGAAAATGGGGGAAAAAGAAAAAGGAAAAAACTATCACAGGTAATGACAGATGACCACAGTCATGAGAGAAAGGCAACAGAAAAACACACAAAAGTAAGGATGTATAAGAAATTTCCAAGAAGGAAAATGAATGAGGATGAGCAAGAATATTGTAAGGTTGAAATGAAACCCCTTTGGGGCAGCAAGAATAAAGACTGAACTGAAATGTGAAACATTCACTTGATTATTTGCCTGTAAGAAAAATGTTTACATTAGGAAAAAGAGGTATGTGCGGAGGAGAAAACCAAACAAAAAAGCGAAAAACATCTTTAACATAAGGAAATCTGTATTCCCTAAAGACACATGATTTCATAAAGGAAAAAAACAGTGTGCATGGAATATATGTTATTATGTGTAGATTTTTTTTTTTACTGACAACCTGTTGCTTACAGAAAGAGAAAAATGAAATCTCAACCTACTTATGTACAAGAAGTATGTATAGTAAGTCACTAGGTTTTATACATTCTTGTTGTATGCCTCCACTCATGGCCAACAATACTTTTCCTTTAAGTTCACCTTGTTCCTCCTTCTTGTCTTAATGAATTTCACCAAGTTCCATTTTAAACCCACAAATTGGATTTTAGTTCTTTCAAGAATGATGTAATACAAAGCAACCAGGACAGGTCAGTACCATTTTCTGATGGTCCCTTTATAAATGGCAACAGATTAGACAAAAGATTAAATAAATGTATGAATCATTTGATTACCCTCTCCTCTCTCCAAATGGATCCACCTTTCAGAAGGAGTTTAAGCATCACAGCAATATTAAGAACATGAAAACACCACAACTGATTAAATGGTTAGTTACTCCCCTTATTTATAAAAGCCTTGCATTAATTTGCAAAATGGCCAGAAAAATAAAACTACTACAAATAATTGTAAGAATGACCAATAGGGAAATAAACCATGAAGATGCATGTGGTTCAAAAAATGAGGTCACTAGGGCAGAGGGTAGACTACAGAATATTACCTAAATGGAAACAGTATGCTATGTTCGAAAATGAAATTTTAAAGAGATGGAGATTAGCTTTGTAACAATATACTCCTGCAACATATTACCTCTATTTGCCATAAAAATCTCCAAGGCTGTGTTTTGCAAAAGGTAACGACGAGAAAAGACTGATCGTATCTCTGTGAACAGCCATTTTCCATGTAGCCCTTCTGTATATGCCAGGATCTAGTGAAAAAAAAATAATCCCAAGTAAATAACAAGAGTAGAATTTTTTGTTTGTTCTTCCCCTATAAAAATAGAAAACTTTCTATTAAGAAAAATAACTTCAAATAACTGAATAAACAATTATTGAAATAATCTGGAGGGTGACAAAACAGATGGCAATTTATAGAAAGGAAGCTTAAATGAAAAAAGAGCAAAATTATAAAACTTCTATTTGTAAATATATTTGGAGCTTTTTAAAGCAGTTAGGTATCTATAGCTTTTTGGAAAATACATGTTTGTTATTTAGTAATTGGTTTTTCAATCATATTATGGAAAGTAAAATTTTGGATAAAACCTTTAAGAAGAAAGACCTCAAAAGAATGCCCTACATGCTTACAGATCACATATGCCAATCAGTTTCATGTAACATGATTTTAATGTACCCAGAAGTGCTCTTTACAGATTAAAACATATGCATTTATGGTAAATCCTAAGTGTTCTTATGAGAAGGAGAAAAAATATATTCTCTTTTTTCTTTCTTCTTTGCTTTTTATTGTAACTATATGGGAAGATGAATGTTAGCTGAACCTACTGTGGTAAACACTTCACAATATATGTAAATCAAACCATCAAGCTCTATGTCTTAAAATTATACTCTGATATATATCAATTGTTTTTCAATAAAACTGAATATATATGTATATATATATATTTAAGTTTATGACGTTAAAAAAATCACATTTTTAAGATCACTGTTAAGGCAACAGTTATTCATTCAGAAAGCACGCAGCCTGACTGTAGGAGAGGTTAAGTATCATTTTGTCAGTTGGGCTAAACACAAACCTGCAAATGAACTCAGCATAATCTCTCTGTGGAGTAGGTGGCTGTCAGAGTAACTTGTTACAATTCTTGTCATCCCAAGTGACAGACGCAGTAGCTTAGAATGCTTTGCCAACCCAAAGTAATCCTGTCTTTAGTCCTTAAACCACTTTGCTGCTTTGTAATTCAAGTTTTGTTTTTTAAAAAGTTCATTTCAAAAGCTTAATTATGAAGGTGTTAAAGGAAAACCAGATGTGGAATTTCTACACAAAAGCACTTCACATAATATTAATAAAGAAAATGAGATGTATTTTGCTACCAAAACCTGATGAAAATCCAAGAAAGCAAATTAGGTTAAAGAAAATACAGCTCTCAAAAGTAACGACCATCAAAAAATACAAGCAAGAGGACATACGGTTATGATATTGCATTGTAGGGACAAAGATGGAATAAGTGAAGGGAGGAAAAATAATGAATAGTAACAATTTATCCTACAAAAAATTTCTTTTCTTTTTCTTTACTCATTTCCATTTGTTAGGTCTTAATTGCAAAGAAATATATTCCTCAATGCAAAAGGCAGTTTATTTGAAAAACAAAACCAGCCTTATTTAATTCATTAAGTATGTATTTAGGTTTCTCTACAAAATTATTCTATTTCTGGCACCACAGGATTGAGAAATGAAAGAATGGGTATAACAATAAAGCTCAGTGCATTTAGAGAAACAAAATTTTGAAGGACCAAACAATTAATCACACTTTCAGTTTTAAAATAGGTGATAGAGAAATCCTATTTTTTTTGTGTGTGTGCATTCTTTAATTTTTTTTTAACGGAAATATTGTTGATGTACAATCTCATATTGGTTTCAAGTACATAATGGTGGTTTGATAGTTACCCATATTATTAAATCATCACCCCAACTAGTGCAGTTACTATCTGTCAACATAGAAAGATGTTATGGCACTAATGACTATATTCTCCATGCTGTACTACCATCCCACTGATCAATTTATATTATGATTGAGCATTTTTGTGCTCCTTTATGCCCCTAACCTTGCCCACCAACACACCCCAACCCCTTCCCCATGGTAACTACCAGTCACTTCTCAGTGTGTCTGAGTCTACAGCTTTTTGTTCATTTTATTTTGTTCTGTTTTGTTTCTAGATTCCACAAATAAGTGAAATCATATGTTATTTGTTTTTCTCTGCATGGCTTATTCACTGAACATAACATCCTCTAGATCCATCCATGGGGTTGGAATGCCAGGATTCTTTTAATTAATAGTTGAATAATATTTCATTGTATATATGTACCACATCTTCTTTAACCATTCATCTACTGATGGATACTTTGATTGCTACCATATCTTGGCTATTGTAAATAATGAGGCAATAGCGTGGAGGTGCATGTATCTTTTTGAAACAGGGATTGTTTTCTTCGGGTAAATTCTTAGAAGTGGAATTACTGGATCAAATGGTATTTCTATTTTTAGTTTTTTGAGAAGCCTCCATATTGCTTTCCATAGTGGCTTTACTAACTTACACTCACATCAACCGTGTAGGAGGTTTCCCTTTTCTCCACATTCTTGCCAGCACTTGTTATTTCTTGTATTTTGGATAGGGGCCATTCTAACTGGTGTGAGGTGATATCTCACTGCAGTTTTGATTAGCAATGTGGAGCATCTTTTCATGGGGCTGTCGGCCATCTGTATTTCTTCTTTGGAAAAATGCTTATTCAGATACTCTGCCCATTTTTTAATTGGGTTATCTACCCTTTTTTGGTGTTAAGCTCTTTATGTATTTTGGATATTAACCCCTTATTGGGTAAATTGTTTACAAATATATTCAACCATATTGCACAATGGCTTTTTGTTCTGCTGATGGTGTCCTTTGCTGTAAGGAAGCTCTTTTAGTTTGATGTAATCCCACTTGTTCATTTTTATTTTGTTTCCCTTGCCTGAGGAGATGTGTCCAGGAAAAAACTGCTGATTGGTCTCTCTACTTGGTTCAAGAGATTTTTGCCTGTTTCCTTCTAAGAGTTTTATGGTTTCATGACTTACATTTAGGTCTTTAATCCATTTTGAGTTTACTTTTGTGTATGGGGTTAGACAGTAATCCAGTTTCATTCTCTCACATGCAGCTGTCCAGTTTTCCCAACACTAGTTACTGAAGAGGCTGTGTTTTCCACATTGTATGTTCATGGCTCCTTTATCATATATTAGTTGACCATATATGTGTGGGTTTATATCTGGGCTCTCTATTCTGTTCCATTAATCTATGGGTCTGTTCTTGTGCCATCAACAAATTGTTTTGATTACTGTAGCTTCATTAGTAGAGCTTGAAGTCAGGGACTATAATCCACCAGCTCAAGATTGCTTTGGTTATTTGGGGTCTTTCATGGTTCCATATGAATTTTAGTATTATTTGTTGTAGTTCATTGAAAAATACTGTTGATATTTTGATAGGGATTACACTGAATCTGTAAATTGCTTTGGGCAGGATAGCCATTTTGACAATCCTAACTCTATCCATGAGCATGGGATAGATTTCCATTTATTGGTGTCTTCTTTAATTTCTCTCATGAGTGTCTTATAGTTTCAGAGTATAGTTCTTTCACCTCCTTGATTAGGTTTATTCTAGTATATTATTCTTTCTGATGCAATTGCAAATGGAACTGTTTTCCTGAGAAAAATCTTACTAACTCTTTCATACAACAAATACCTGTGTAAATAATATGAAGAGAAATGAACAGGAAAAGGGAGGACAAAAATATGGGTTTTATTCTCAATGTTTTTTTAAAGCAGGGGTTGCATGTACCCTTTTCTCTTACCACAACCAGTAGGTCCAAGCCTCCAGGCTACACTGGCCTCCCACTTGGTCTCTCTCCTTCTAGTCTACCTCTAGACCTACCATGACCAGAGGAACCAAATGACAAAAAAAATTTAATAGAAATCAGACCACATCACTCATGTACTTAACACTATTCCAGTGGCTTAATATTACATGCATTAATAAGCTCGAAAGCTCTTCATAATCATTTACAGAAAAGATTTCTGTCTCTGACTACTTGATGAGCCCTGTTCATTCTTCCTATGTGCCCAAGTGTTTCCTGTTTGGAATGTTCTCCTCCCAAATTTTCACTTGCTCTTATATTTAGATTTTTGCTCTAAAGCCACCTCCTCACAGAAGTCACAGGATCTATACCCCTCCTCCTCCATTACCACCACATCCTATTCCAAACTCTTCAGATTTCCTTCAAAAACTTACCACTGCCTGAATAACATTTTCTTGTTTGTCCACTGCTTCTATTTATCACTAGAACACTAGAATCTAAATTACAGTAGAGCAAAGACTTTACTTTCTTTTACACTTCCTAGACCACTATCTGACACAAAGTAGATGTTTTTTGATAATTAAATGAATCAGTTAGTGAATGGCAACATTTGCTCCATATATGGCCCAAATTCATTGTCTTTGGCCCATATGATATTTTAACAAAATTTCAAGTAGTTAAAAATACTTAAGAAAATGGATATTTACATAAACATTCAGATTCCTGGTTTTGCAGAAAAAATTGGAGCGTCTGCCAAACCCAGATCTATATGCCACATGGTACCAAATGGCATGCCCTCTCTATTTTGGCATACTCTCCATGCATTCACTCACTTACAATTACCTGTCTAGTTTCCACTGGCATTTGAGTTTGCCACCTTGACTTATGAAAAAGCAGAAAATCAAATACCTCTATTGTAACACTTATACTCCAATCTGCCCAGTAATGAATAGGGAAAATGAGACTGAGACAAGTTAAATACTATTGGCAGAGTCTGTACTACTCTCATATTTTCTATTCCAGAAGTCCAAAGCTTACACATATACCACATTGTCACATTTCTTAAAGAGGGCTTAAATGTTTGTTAAACTAGAACTCAACTCCACAGAAATTTTAATCTACTAAATTTGTTTTCTGGCACTTGGATTATAGGTAAAAGGGGAAAATCAAAAGAAAACAAACAACAAAGGACCCTTTAAGCACTGTGATATGCTAAGAATATTACATACTGTCACTCATAATGGTGTTGCCCACAATTCCAACATTATGGTCATGCAACTAAAGATTTAAGGATATTCCAGGGTACTCCAATCATTAACAGAAATTAACTATACTAAAGTATTGTTATGAAGTTTGTAAAATAGTTTTCCA